GGCCTGGGCGCTGTCCCTCAGCTCTTCAGCTCAAGGCTAGCACTCTACCACTTGAGCCACAGCGCCACTTCTGGCTTTTTTCTTTTTGCTTATGTGGTGCTGAGGAATCGAACCCAGGGCCTCAAGCATGCAAGGCAAGCGCTCTACCACTGAGCCACCTTCCCAGCCGGGTTGTCTCTCTTTACAGCATAAGTTTTACTGTATTCTAGCTAAATGAAAATGTGAAATATGGAAGATTTATCCTGTTATATGCTTATATTCAAATCCCGTACCTGCTGCCTTGAGAGCCAGGTGTGGAGGAAGAGGTCCTCCCATGGTTGTTTGTCCATCTTCCTTATTAGTATTTGCTGTGGTGTCAGTTGTTTCAGTAACGGCAGGTGGAGGTGCAATCTGTAAAGAAAAAGAAAAGGAATCAGCGTTTTAACCTTTAAAGAGACTACATAATTATTTCAATACTTATTAAAGATCTGGAGGCATCTTTGTTTTTGCTCATGGCTGGCACCCTAACATTTGAACCAATGATTTCACCTTTTTGCTGGTTAACTGAAGAGTCAGATCTGTTTGCCTGGACTGGTTTGAACCACTATCCTTATATTTCAGTCTCTGAATAGACAGGATTGTAGGTATGAGCCACTAGAACTTTGTCTTATCTATTTTTTTTAAAAACATATAAAGTGGTGCTGTGGCTCAAGTAGTAGTGTTTACCTTGAGCTGAAGAGCCCAGTGACAGCACCCAAGCCCCGTCACCGACAAAAAAAGAAAATCAGATCAATGCCATTACTTCTGTAGCTTGTTTTTCCCCATTTATTACCTTCATGTGTGAATACCACAAATATTCATTCAAAATTACTTTTCATGAGTTTCCATTACATATCCAAAGTACTGAAAATTAAACAAGTAAATGTGCACACAAACAATACTGCAAAATACTATTTTTTTAACTCTTCTGATCATATGGCTAACTAGGAGCTATGAAAATTTCTCATAGAGGGGCTGGGAAGGTGGCTCAGTGGTAAAGCGCTTGCCTTGCATGCCTAAGGCCATGGGTTCGATTCCTCAGCACCACATAAGCAGAAAAAGCCGGAAGTGGCACTATGGCTCAAGTGGTAGAGTGCTAGCCTTGAGCTGAAGAGCCAAGGGACAGCACCCAGGCCCAGAGTTCAGGCCCCCACAACCGGCAAAAAAAAAAAAAAGAAAATTTCTCATAGATAAGTAAAGGTAAAAATTCAAGGTATAATTTCTAACCAAAGTAAATCACTTTCTAGCCATGATTACAAGTAGAACCACTCTAAGTTAGGAATTTGTTATTTTATGTGCACACAAGAATTAGTACTTGAGCTGGGCACTGGGGCTCACACCAATAATCCTAACTACTAAGGAGGCTAAGATGTGATCATGTTTTGAAGCCAGCAGAGCAGGGAAAGTCAATGAGACTTCAATTAACCACCAAAAAAAACCCTCTTGCCTAGGAAGTACAATATCCTGGGTCCGATTCCCCAGCACCAAAGAGGAAAAACAATGAAGGTTTAGTGGTAGAGTGCTTGCCTAGCATGCATGAAGCCCTAGGGTAGACGCCTCAGTACCATGTAAACAGAAAAGGCCGGAAGTAGCATTGTGGCTCAAATGGTAGAGAGCTGACTTTAAGCAAAAGAGCCAAAGGACAGAGCCCAGGCCTTGAGTTTAAACCCCACAACTGACAAAAAGTCTGTATATTTAATTTTGAACTCTATTTTTAATCCCATATTCAACACGTATCTCAAAGTGCTTGACTTCAAATACTTACCCCAACAGCTGGGACTTCTTCACTCTTTACTTCATTAATTCGAACCAAATAGTTAACGAAGTCTCTGGCAGCATTGCTCTGTGCATCTTTTTTATTGGTGGAATTGCCCATGCCAGCATAATTATATCCTTCTACCCGCACCTTCAAAATAAAGTGTATTAAAAGTGTGTTAATTCTAGGATTCTACAAATTCAGTTCATTAACAGATAACTCTCTTATATACACAATGTTATATATTTAAAAGCATTGAAAACATGGGGCTACTCTCTAAAAAAACCTTGAATTATACACTGTCCAGTGGAGAAGCTAATTCAAGCTGAATGCTCTAATTATTAACATACTATTATTTTAATTCAAGCAGCTAAGTAGGTGATATTCTCATCTAACCTGATTTTATACTCTGCTTCTTTTAAGTACTGATTCTAAATGAGTTTTAAAACTGTCAATAGCTGAGCTAACTTTCCTCTACTTCTCTACTGATAATTGAGGGAAGTGAGCAAGATTTATGCTCTAGTTCAAATCATTTATCTCACAACTAATCTTAACTAAGCACAATAAAGAACAATTCCCCAGTGTGCAATGAAATCCCCAATGTGCAATAGATTTTTTTTTAGCATTTCCAAGCAATGCTTCTAACCCCAAAATGAGCTTCACAGACAACCATATTCTTTATTACCTCACACATGAACTTCTGCCTGTTTTTATTCCCCACTGCTCTAATCTCATACGATGGAGTCATCTTCCTTTTGCCACACCAGGCATACAGAAAATTTTTAATGTCACCCATGATTCAGGTCTTCAGACCTAAGGAAACAAAAGTAAAAAAATATGATAGCAATACTTGGATATAAACAATACCTGGAAATTACTAAAAACTTTAGATTAAGTGAAGGATATTCTACCATACTGCTATTAAGCTTTCTTATGAAGAGAAATTTTAACCCATTTGAAACATTATGGTGTCATAAAACCATGAATTACATAAAAATTGGAAATAATTTTCCTGTATGATGGTTGTATCTTTGGACAGTGATTTTTTTGTATCAGTGGGGGGGGGGGTTGAACTCTTGGCCTGGGTGCTGTCTCTGAGCTCTTCAGCTCAAGGCATGTGCTCTACCACTTGAGCCACAGTGATACTTCCCTTTTTCTAGTGGTTAACTGTAGATAACAGTCTCAAAGACTTTCCTACCCGGGCTGGATTTGAACCTTGATCCTTAGATCTCAGCCTCCTGAGTAGCTAGGATTAAAGGCATGAGCCACCAGCATCCAGTGGTTTGTATCTTTAAAAAGAAAAAAAAATTTTTAGCCCGGCACTGGTGGCTCCCAGGCCCAGAGTGCAAGCCCCTGATTGACAAAAAATAAATGCATAAATAAATAATAGAATGTGTGCAAGGGACTGAGAAGGTGGCTCAGTGATAAGAGTACTTGCCTTGCATGCATGAGGCCCTCAGTTGGATTCCTCAGCACCACATAAGCAGAAAAAGCAGGAAGTGGCGCTGTGGTTCAAGTGGTAGGTGCTAGCCTTCAGCTGAAAAGCTGAGGGACAGCACCCAGGCCCAGAGTTCAGGCCCCCCACAACTGACGCCAGCTGCCCCAAAATGCATGAACACAACAGGGCAACTGGGTTTCTAACCCTAGCTACTCCAGAGGCTGACAGCTAAGGGCAGTACAATAACAGAGGCGCGAATGTCTATGCGATCAGCTAACACCAAAAGGCTGGAAGTGGAGCAGTGGCTCAGGTGGAAGAACACCTAAGTCTTGGGCACCAAAGCTCAAGGACAGCAGCCAGGCCAAACTCCAGGATTGTTATGCACGGTACATGCACAGACAATAGAAACATGGACACAAAATAAGGAATACAGTATCAAATCCTTTCTCCCTATGTAGTCTCATGATATAACTTGTTAGTAATATTCCTGCCAGCTTTAGGCAAATATACACTAATATATACTGAAAGCTTTATCTCCATGGTTATATTCATTTAATTAAACAGTAATGTCCATCTTCAGGCTGGCTTGCCACCTCAGTAGAAACAGTATTAAATTTACTCCCCAAATGCGTTCCAACCCTGATCTGTACATTTACATCATCTACAGTGGTATTGATTGTTATCTGCCAACATTAACCAGGTTATACAATTTCAAGTTGGAATAGTGTCTGAAGATCCTTTACAGCTAACTCTGGTAGAGCCCTCAGTGTTATTAGGGTCATACCTTATCCTTAATGCATAAAGAACTATTGTTTTTAATCCTTAAAACTGTACCAAAAGGGCTGGAAAGCTGGCTCAGTGGTAGAGTGCTTGCTTTTCAGGAATGAGGCCCTGGGTTCAATTCCTCAGCATCACATGAGTAGAAAAACAAAAAACCAAGAAATATTATTACCCTTAAGATCGTGAGGTTGGGAGCCAGTGGCTCCTGCCTCAGCTACTAAGAAGGTTGAGTGAGAGGTGAGGATCCTGGTTCCAAGACAGCTGAAGAAGCAAAATCTAAAGAACCTATTATCTTCATTTAGCCACCAAAAGACCCTTAAGTGGAGCTGTGGCTAAAATGATAAGAATGCTTGCTTTTGAGTTTTTCTCTCGTGGACAGTGCACAAGCGCAGAAGCACATGTGAGCACACGCAGGACAACTAAGTGGATGGAGAATATTTCTCCTTTTTGCCAGTCCTGGTCTTGAAATCTGGGCCTAAGGGCTGACCCTGAGCCTCTCTGAGTTCAGGGCTAGCGCTTGGCCACTTAAACAACAGCACCACTTAGGACTTTTTCTGAATAGTTAAAGATGAGTCTCTCAGATTGTTGAGTGATGGCTCTCGCCTGTAATCCCAGCTACTCATGAGGCTGAGATCTGAGGATCTCGGTTCAAAGCCAGTCCAGGGCAGGAAAGACTGTGAGACTCATCTCCAATTAACCACCAGAAAACCGTTAGTGGTGCTGTGGCTCAAGTGGTAGAGCGCTCGCCTTGAGCTGAAGAATTGAGGGACAGCGCCCAGGCCCAGACTTCAAGCCCCACGACCGACCCCCCCCCAAAAAGCCTCACAGTCTTTTCTGACCGGGCTAGCTTCCAACCAAGATCCTCAGATCTCAGTCTCTCCAAGGCACCCCGTGCCTCAAGTCTGTAATTCTACCTGCTCAGGACGCTGAGATCTAAGGACCATGGTTCAAAGTCAGCCAAGACAGGAAAAGAACATTGAGAAGGGTCATCTCCAATTAACTACCAAAAATATAGGAAGTGGAGATGTGGTAGTGCCAGCCTTGCGCAAAAAAAGAAAAAAAAGAAAAGAAAAAAAGCTAAGGGGCGGGGGGGGGGGAGTGTCTAAGCCCTAAATTCTAGGCCCAGGGTCCACACAAAGATACCTGATCCCGCTTCTTACCAACCCCTTTACAAGCGATTTGGGCTCCGAAATAGTTCCACCTACCCTGACACGACCACACGGGAGTATTGCGACAGTACTACACTAGCAGGTTTGCCGCCATGAAAGTCGTTCTTTCGCGCGCTCTCCACCTTCCAGTCACATGGCCCCCCTTCTTATAATTCCCGGCCAGCCGCTGGCCCTAAGCGCCGTTAATCTCATTTCGGACTCAGAGGCCCGGATTTCGAGCTCACGTGCCCGGCCTCCCGAAGTAACGTTCTCCTCAGCTTTCCTCGGTGTCACCCCATCTTCACGAAAACCTCCCTTTATCCTCCCGCCGCCGGGCCCCCCGCTCCGCCCCCTCCGCCGGCATCCGGGGCCCGGGCCGTTACCTCCTAACCCGCACACGGCTCCGAGCCGCGGGGCCTGCGGCGCCGCGTCGAGATTTGCCGCAGGAAATGAGGAAAAAACTGGGGAGGCCAGGCGCCGGCAGCGTGGCGGCGGCGACCACGAGGCACCGCCGGCGACGCGACTTCCCTTCCCCTCCCCCTTCCCACTCCGACCGCGCGCGCGCGCCCGCGCCGCCCGCCCACCCCCTCAGGCGGGCTAGGCCCGAAGGGAAAGCCCGCTGTACGCGGGAGACCCGAGTCGAAAAGACGAGGCTTCGGGCCCGGCCTCCTGCGGCTGCGCATACGCAGCCGCGAGCAACGCCAGGCAATCCGGGAACGCGCCGGCGGCCGTGCCCATCCCCCACCCGCCGCCGCCCGCGCCTCACAACAAAGCCGGCTGCGGCGCCGAGGCCCGCAGCCCTCCCGCAGCCCTCCCGCTACCCCGCACCGGTGGCCAGGACATCTCTACCGTACCTGCCTCTGCTTCCCGGTGCCTGAAAGCGCAGTCCTCTAAAGACAGTTAGGGGCTCTGGCCTTCCAGCGAGAGAGCGAGAGAGCGAAAGAAAGCACGGCCGCACGCATGGAGGCCGCGACGAAATGGCTCCGACCGCTGCTCTAGGGGGCGGAGTCACTGCTCCTGCACATGCGCAGTAGGCGAACTTGAGGGCGCGTGAGCCTCTAGGGAGGGGGCGGGGCTGCAGCCATTTCCCGCCGCCCGGCGTCCCGCGGCCTGCGAGAACCGTTGCGCCTGGTTTCTGGCGCGCCGTTGTGCTACTTCCTGTTAGGGCTTTGGAGGCCGCCGAGAGGCCTTGTGGCGTTTCCAAGTTTCATCTATAATATACCCTCCTTGTACCCCAAGATATATATCACCCCGACACAATATCGTTGTCAACCGCTGGGAAAGCTCCGGTCGGGACCGATCTGAGAGGCTGCCCTTTCTTTGTCTTTTGTGTTTGGAGGTGCACGAGTCCCCCGACCTCCAAACCATTTTTGTCCTTCCGTTTGGGCCTCAGCCTCGGATGCCATTTTAACCACTGAGATCACGGGCCTGCACCCCCACGGCTGGGCCTGGAGGCCAACTAGAGTTACCTCTGCACAGGCCGTGGATGTGAGGGAAGTGCAGGGCCCCTGGGGCAGGCCGGGCCTGGAAGAAGAGATCCGGGTCCCCCTGGAAGAAGAGATCCGGGTCCCCCCCGGATTACCAGGATTCATCTCCCGAACTGGATACCACAACCCCCACCAGCGAACCAAATCCCCATCCCTTCTCCTTTGTCCTTTGTTTAGCTCTGTGTGAGCTCCAGCTGTGAAGCTGGCCTTCTCTTGCAGTTGATTAATTCGCTTTGGGGTTTTTGTTTGTGTGGAACGGAGACAACCTAGGAACTTGAGCATCTACCGCTAAACCTCATCCTAAACCCAAATGGGTTCTGTGCATGAATAAACTGCTTACAATAGCTGCTGGAGACTGTGGCAGGAATATTATTGAATTTAAGGACCTCCTTGGCTGCAAAGCAAGATCCTGTCCCCTAAAAAAAATCCTGTCCCTCACTTAATCTCAGTTTACTTCATAGATTAAAATTATCCAGGGGCTGATAGTGTGGCTCAGTGGTAGAGTGCTTGCCTAAGAGGCCCTCGGTCGTACCTTCAGCCACACAAACTTATGGAAGGAGGAAAAGAAGATGGAAACTTCTCAGTTGAGGACTTAACCTCAAAGGCAAAGGCCCTAGATTCAGTCACCAGTACTACAACTGAGCAAGTGGGAACTGTCGCGTGTGCCTTCCCTCCTTAATCTTTATTATAATCCTTGAAGAATCCATCACTTTCACTAGTATCAGCCTAACACTTCCAGCCATATCTCCAGCTCTTCACCTGGTCCTCCTTCCTTCCTTCCCTCTCCCCCTCCCCCTCCCTCCCATCCTCCCTTCCTTCCTCCCTCCCTCCCTTCCTTCCTTCCTTCTTTTCTTCCTTCCTTCCTTCCTCCTTCCTCTTTATTTATTTATTTTTGCCCTCACGCTTGAACTCAGGTCCTAAGCACTGTCCCTGAGCTTCTTTTGCTCAAGGCTAGCATTCTTCCACTTGAGCCACCATGCAATTTCTGGCTTTTTCTGTTTATGTGGCACTGAGGAATTGAACCCAGGGCTTCATGTATGCTAGGCAAACACTCTACCACTAAGCCACATTCCCAGCCCTGTACTTCACATTTTTGATAGAATTAGAGATCATGGCCCTGTTCATATGAAGAAAAAAAAATTTATTGCTGAGCACCAGTGATTTACACCTGTAATCCTAGCCACTCAGGGGTGAGATGAGGATCGCAGTTCCTAGGCAGCCCTTGAATTATTCCAAAAAGCCAGAAGTGGAGCTATGGACCAAGTGATTAGAGCACAAGCTTTAAGGGGAAAAAAATGTGCAAAGATAGTGGCCAGGCCCTAAGTTTAAGCCCCAGGATCAGCATAACACAAACAAAAATTTATGATACTAAATTTGAACTCTTTGAAGGATCTGGTTAGTGGTTCATGATGGATTTCTGTTGGAAGGCTGAAACTAATATGAGCATATATGCATAGGAAAAATTTTGAGGTGGTATAGACTTGATTCCTGAGAACAGCAAATGCTACATATCTTTGCCTCTTCTCCAACTCCTTCAGGAGCCAGTTATTAACCATTTAATATCTCCTCACTGGACTCGAGCTGGGGTATGGTTTTTCTTGCTCCATTCTGGCTTTCGATCTGAACAGATCCCTCAGTTGCTCAGGGTTGATCTTGCTTTTCTTTTTAGTCAGGGGTAAGGGATCAGAACTCGTCTTCTAGTTCTAGCTTTCTGCCTTGCAGGGTAGGGAAGTCCCACAGAGAGTTTTTTTTTTTTTTTTTGGTCGTGGGGCTTGAACTCTGGGCCGTCCCTCAGCTCTTCAGCTCAAGGTGAGCGCTCTACCACTTGAGCTACAGCGCCACTTCCGGTTTTCTGGTGGTTTATTGGAGATAGGAGTCTCAGGGTCTCTCCTGCCCGGGCTGGCTTTGAACCGAGATCCTCAAATCTCAGCCTCCTGAGTAGCTAGGATTACAGGCGTGAGCCACCAGCGCCCAGCTCCACAGAGAGTTTTGATGGAACTTAAGTGATGGACTTTGCTGCTTCTGCTTGACTCAGCTGCTAAGTTTTCTTTTTCTTTCTTTTTTTTTTTTTTTTTTGCCAGTCATGGGGCCTGAACTCTGGGTCTGGGCGCTGTCCCTCAGCTCTTCAGCTCAAGGCTAGCGCTCTACCACTGGAGCCACAGCGCCACTTCCAGCTTTTTCTGTTTATGTGGTGCTGAGGAATCAAACCCAGGGCCTCATGCATGCAAGGCAAGCACTCTACCACTGAGCCACCTTCCCAGCCCTAGCTGTCCAATTTTTGTTGAGCTTTATGTTTGTCTCTAAAGTTGAGACTTCCAAGGCAAATCTCTCTGAGAAACACCATCCCTCAAAAATGAGGAGTTCTTGGGCTGGGAATGTGACTTAGTGGTAGAGTGCTTGTCTAGCATGCAAGAAGCCCTGGGTTCGATTCCTCAATACTACATGAACAGAAAAAGTTGGAAGTAGTGCTGTGGCTCAAGTGGTAGAGTGCTAGCCTTGAGCAAAATGAAGCCCAGGGACCAGAGTGCCCAGGCCCTGAGTTCAAACCCCAAGATTCAGGGGGAGGGGGTGTAAATAAGAGGACTTCTGGAGGTCCTTGGAGAGTACAGCTATCTTCTTACACTCCTCACAGCTTGTTTTCCTCTATATCTGCTCTGAATGACTGTCATGTCCAGGTTCTGTTTCTTGCACTCCATATCTACTATATCTGTACAATCTTATTCTCTCATAATTTCAACTACCATCTATCTGCAAATAAATTCGGCTATGGATTAATTACTTATGACGCACATACCCTCTCTACCAAATTCTGAATTCTAATCCCCAATGTGATAGTATTTGGAGGTAGGATTGTAAGGATATAATTGGGTTCAGATGAGGCCGTGGTGATATTGATACCTTTACAAGCAAATGATGAGGATGGAGGCCCCTCTCTGTTCTGTGAGTGTATAACAAGAAGGCTACTGCAATCTGGGCACTAGTGGCACACACCTGTAATCCTAACTATTCAGGAGTCTGAGATATGAGAAGCCAAACTGGGCAAGGATGTCCATGAGACTCTTACCTCCAATTAACCACTAAGTGGAACTGTGGCTCAAGTAGTAGAATGCTGGCCTTGAGCAAACAAACAGAGATAGTGTTGGGCCCAGACTTCAACACCCCCCCACACACACCTACAAACTAGGAAGAGGACCCTTAGCAGCAACCAACCATATTGGTACATACCAGTGTCCACAGTTATGAGAAAGAAATGCTAGTTGTTTAAGCCATGAGCCACTCAGTTTCACCTGAGAGTGTTCTGTTTCTCTCTCCTTTTCTAGGTGAAACAATCTGCCATGTTATGCTATGACAAACACTGACTCCCTCTGGCCAGCAGCCAACAAGGATCTAAGGGCAGTGGAACAATGAAGGAAGTGAAATTGAAAGCAAATACTCCTGTCCCGGAAGAACCTAGGGATAAGTGAACCTAGGCCAATAGCTCAACTGCAAACCTCGTCAGAGACTACCCCCAACTACATTCCCTTTTCTCAAAGCTACCACTTGAACTTTTTTGATGATGATTCTTATAAACTGGAGATGAGTCTCATAGACTTTCATACCTAGGCTGGCTTTGAACCTTGATCCTCAGATCTCAGCTTCCTGACTAGTTAGGATTACAATTGTGATCAACTGATGTTGGCTCTTGCTTAGCTTTTTTGCTCATGAATGTTGTTCTACCACTTGAGTCACACTCTACCCTACGGATTTTTGCTGGTTAGGTGGATTTGTTCCTTGGATATATCTGCCCAGGATGGCTTTAAACCTCAATCCTCAGATCATAACCTCCTGAATAGCTAGGATTACAGGCATGAGCTATTGGTGTCATGCCTCTATTTGAACTTTGAACCCATCAGTACATTAAACCATTCATTAAGTCAGAGCCCTCAGAATCTAATTGTCTCTGGAAATGCTATCACAGACACCACCCAGCAGCGTGTCTTACTAATCTATTAGGCAATTCTTAATCCAATCCACATGACACTCAAATTTAGTGTTTCAGATATGTAATCACCTATCAAGAGAAAATAATTCTCCACTTCTGCCTGCTCTTTCAGAATTAAAGCCAAGAGGTTAGGAAGACTGGTTCTTTTTCTTTTGTCAGTCGTGGGGCTTGAACTCTGGGCCTGGGCACTGTTCCTCAGCTCTTCAGCTCAAGGCCAGCACTCTACCACTTGAGCCACAGCGCCACTTCCAGTTTTCTGGTGGCTAATTAGAGATAAGAATCTCCTGGACTTTCCTGCCCAGGCTGGTTGTGAACTGGGATCCTCAGATCTCAGCCACCTTAGTAGCAGGATTACAGGTGTGAGCCACCAGTACCTTGGCTAAGACTGGTTCTTATATTGGGACTTGAACTCAGGGCCTTGCGCTGTCCTTGGCTTATGCTGAAGGCTTTAGTCAACCTCTACTTCTGGCTTTTTTTTTTTTTGGTCCATACTGGGACTTGAACTCAGGGCCTCAGTCCTTGAGCCCCTTTGTGCTCTAAACTAGTGCTATGCTACTTGAGCCACAGTATTACTACTGTTTTTTTTTTTTTTTCTGAGTAGTTTATTGGAGGTAAGAGTCTCACAAATTTTCCTGCCTGAGCTGGCTTAGAAACATGGTGCTCAGATCTCAACCTCCTGAGTAGCTAGGATTATAGGCATGAGTCACTAGTCACATCTGGCTTTTTCCTTGTTAATTGGAGACAGGAGTTGCATGGACTTTCCTGCCAAAGATGCTTTCTCAGATTTCAAGTTTCCCCAGTGGCTAGGATTACAAGGGTGAGCCACCAAAGCTCAGGTCATACAGTAAATTCCTTATTTATTTATTCCTTCATTCCTTATTTATTTATTTACTATTTTTGGTGCCCAAGTCCTGGGTTCAAGCCAGTTGTGGGGCTTGAACTCAGGACTTGGGCACTGTCCCTGAGCTTCTTTTGCTCATGGCTAGCGCTCTACCAGAACTTGACCAAAAAAAAAAAAAAGGGTTTATTCCGGAACTGCAGGCTGCCCCAGGCTAAGTCAGTCCTCCTCCCAACTGGGAAAAAGGTAGCTTGCCTTTGGGCCACATCTTTTCTAGGGTAGGGGTTGGGAGAAGTGTGGCCAGGTAGTGGGAGGTGTGACTAGGTAAGGGGAGGTGTGGCCAGGTGGGAGAAGGGTGTGTCCAAATCGGATCCAGATGTGACCTCAGCAGATTCAGTTGTGACCTCAGCAGACGCAAATGTGCCGGTTGCCTAGGCAATGCAGGTACTGGGTGGAGACTTAGGTAAGAGAGGGGAGGAATCTGTCCTACCTTCCTAGGGTGACCTTACAATAACAAATTTGAGTCTAATTCATACTAGAGATAACCAAGGAGACTTTGTTTTCTTACACTTCAGTTTGTCAGGTTTAAACATTGCATTAAAAAAGGGAGGGGGGGCTGGAAGATGGCTTAGTGGTAGAGTGCTTGCCTAGCATATATGAAGCCCTGAGTTTGATTCCACAGTACCACATACACAGAAAAAGTTGGAAGTGGTGCTGTAGCTCAAGTGGTAAAGTGCTAGCCTTGAGCAAAAGAATTCAGAGACACTGCCCTGAGTTCAAGCCCCAGGACTGTCAAAAAGAAAAAAAACGTTTAAAAAAAAAGCAAGCAACCCCTCCATATACTATTTTTACAATAAAAACATTAAAAAAAAAAGCAAGCAGGATTACCTCCTATAATCCTACCTACTTAGGAGGTTGAGCTCTGAGGAACCAGGTTCAAAGCCAAGCCTGGGCAAGAAAGTCCATGAGACTCATCTCCAATTAACCACCAGAAAACCAGAAGTGGAACTGTAGGTTAAAGTGGTAGAGCACTAGCTTTGAGCAGAAAGAGCTCAGGGACAGTGCCTGGATCCTGAGTTCTCCCCTCATGACCAACAAAAATTAAACATAAAAATAAAAGATGGGGGACTGGGAAGGTGGTTCAGTGGTAGAGTGTTTGCCTAGCATGCATGAGGCTCTGGGTTCAATTCCTCAGCACTACATAATCAGAAAAGGCCAGAAGTGGTGCTGTGACTCCAGTGGTAGAGTGCTATGAGCTGAAGAGCTGAGGGACAGTGCCCAGACTCAGAGTTCAGGCCCCACAACCAGCAAAAAAGAAAGAAAGAAAAAAGATGGCTGAGATTTGAGGATCATAGATTAAAGCCAGCCCAAGCAGAAAAATGTGCAAGACTATTGCCTCCAAATAACCTCCAAAAAAACAGAAGTAGAACTATCGTTTAAGTGCTAGTCTTGAGCAAAAAACTTAGGGACAGGGCTGGGAATGTGGCTTAGTGGTGGAGTGCTTGCCTCACATGCATGAAGCCCTAGGTTCGATTCCTCAGTACCACATACACAGAAAAAGCCAGAAGTGGCACTTAGGCTCAAGTGCTAGCCTTGAGCAAAAGAAGCTCAGGGACAGTGCCCAGGCCCAGAATGCAGAGTTCAAGCTCCAGGACTGGCAAAAAAAAAACACAGACAAAACAAAAAAACAATAGCAAAAACAAAAAAGCCACCCCCCCAAAAAAAAAACAACTCAGGGACAGCACCCAAGCCTGAATTCAAGCCCCAGGAAAGGCACCAAAACAAAACAAAAACCAATGAACAGGACTGGGAAGGTGGCTCCGTGGTAGAGCGCTTGCCTTGCATGCATGAGGCCCTGGGTTCGATTCCTCAGTACCACATAAGCAAAAAACAAAACAAAAAACAATGAACAAACTTCCCCAAAATTGGAGATAGCTTAGCAAGGGAATTAAGATGCTTAAAAATGTGTGGTCTCAGAAATATAACAAAGAAAGGTTGGACAAATGGGATTGCATGAAGCTGCAAAACAGAAAAGCAAAAACAAAACAAAACAAAAACTAGAAAGAAAAAAATGTTAACAAAAGGTAAAATATCTATATATTACCTTATAACTTCAGGGAACAAACCCTTCTTAGAAAAGACTTCTTCAAATTAGGGCTACCACAAAGAAACAGCTCAAACAATCTGGGAATAGCTGGATTCTACATGATTTGTCTCTGGCTTTAGGATATTAACAAAACCCCTTTGTGAGTCCACCTAGGACCTGGTTGTAAACACATGGAGTGAACTGGGAAATAGCAAAAAGCCTCTCAAAATTCAAATGTTTCCTGGTGGTGTATGTGCCCTAGCCACGGGAATTCCAGATTTAGGTAAGCATTTCATTCTGGGATGGGGGTGTGTGGCTCATGTGGTAGAGGGCAAGCCTAGCAAGCTTGAGACTCAAAGTTCAAAGCCCCAGACCTACTAAGAACAAACAAAGCCCCCTCTATAATAGCACTGCACTTGTCAAGTTGACAATACAGTTAAAAAAGCAAGGCATTTCCACCAGAGAAGAGATAAATGTGTTCCCTCAGCTTATCATTTCTATGTAATATCACAGGTCCTTTATTTAAATCCATTCATGAGAACTATTCAGGGTGTCTCAAGAAAAGGAGTCTCATAAGGTGAAAGTTTTAGCAAGGATTTATTTATTTTTGGTTGGTCATGGGGCTTGAACTCTGGGCCTGGGTGCTGTCCCTCAGCTGTTCAGCTTAAGGCTAGCACTCTTCTACTTGAGCCACTTCCTGTTTTCTGGTGTTTTATTGGAGATAAGTCTCTCACGGGCTGGGAAGGTGGCTCAGTGGTAGAATGGTTGTCTGGCCTGCATGAGGCCCTGGGCTCAATTCCTTAGCACCACATAAGCAGAAAAAGCTGGAAATGGTGCTGTGGCTCAAGTGGTAGGGTGCTAGTCTTGAGCTGAAGTGCTGAGGGACAGTGTCCAGTCCCAGAGTTTAGGCCCCCAACTGACAAAAAAAAAGAATTTCAGGGAATTTTATAGCTGGGCTGGCTTTGAAACTTGATCCTCAGATCCCAGCCTCCTGAGTAGCTAGGATTTCAGGTGTGAGCTACAGCCACCTAGCTAGGATTCAAATGTTTTTCTGGTCTGACTCTGAAACACATTAAGAGAATTTTTTTATTTTTTTGGTCAGTTATGGGCTTGAACTCTAGGCCTGTCCCTCAGCTCTTCAGCTCAAGGCTAGCAGTCTACCACTTGAACCACAGCCCCATTTCTTGTTTTCTGGTGGTTTATTGGAGATAAGAGTTTCACAGCCCTTCCTACCCAGGCTGGCTTTGAACCGTGATCCTCGGATCTCAGCCTCCTGTGTAGCTAGGATTACAGGCATGAACCACCGGTGACCTTCACCCTAGTCTAAGTTTAGTGTTTTACCACTATCACAAAATACCCAAGGCCAAGTACCTTTATAAAGAAAAGAGGTTTATTTAGCTCATAGTTCTAGAGCTTCAGTGGTATGGCACCATTTTCTGCTGGGCTCTGGTGAAACTTCATAGTGGATGATGTCATGTGGCAGGAACATAGGTGAGTGGACAGATCGCATCCCAGAAAGTCAGTGAAAATTGATGAGTCAACTCAAGCTGTTTTAACAACTTAGTCTTAGCAAACTCCTGAAGGAGAGCAGCAGTACATCTGGAGGGCTGTCCTCATGACTTGCACTTCTTAGCAGGTCCCATCTCTTAAAGGCTCTATCATCTTCTATATCATCACACTGAGAACTAAGTTTTCCACAGATGAACCCTTGGGGCAACAAACTACCTCTGAACCATAGCACCACCTGACAAGTCCCTTTGGAGGAACTGAAGCAAGTCCTCACCTGGCCCAGTCATTGGAGGGTAAACAGTACAAACTTATTCTGAAAGCAGAGCTGTGCAGTGGTGATGAAGACAGCTCAGGAGCCAAGTGAGATGGTATGTAGAGTTGGACCATTTTGAATTTAGTATTAAACTGCTTGCCTAACTGCAACAGCTCAGAGTGTTCCTAGATGCCAAATGAATAACTATTAAAACCAAACTATGTGAAAGTAGTTTAAAATTAGAGAACTTTAAAATAATAAGAATTAGTCATCAAGATAATGGGAGCTCCCAAAGGCAGATGAAACTAAATTAATTACAGTTTTCTCCTGGATTCCCTTTTAGCCATACAAACCGAAAATTCTCCCCCAAAATTTTGTAAAATGAATGACTTAGGGCTCCTGACTCCTTTTAGAGATTTCCCCCTCCTATTTACAATATAAAATATGTTAGGCTCAAAACAGAGATTTAAAAACTTATTGACTGATGTGAGATTTCATGGGATAAGAGGTTTAGTTCATCTACAAAGTCCCTGAGTAAAGAATATGCTTTCCACAGTAATTAGGCCTCAATATTCTCATGTTGATGGACAGAGAGACACTAGCTGCAAGCTTCCAAGTTTCCATCCTTTAAACCAGTGAAGGAAAGGAAATCCAGGCTCTTCAGTTTAGCTTCAGCATGATCAGTGAACTCCCTGGTGGCCTTCTGCAGTGGAAGCCGGGGTGGGCCCATTGGAATTCCAGAGACTAGACTCATGATGGCTTTAGTCTGTGACACTCCAAATCCTAAACAGGAAAAACAAGTGAGAAAACTTTATTTCCCTGCAAACATCTCAAAGAATATTAGGTCATATGGCAACAAAGGTCATATGCCCCGAAAGCAAGATAAAAGTTAATGGCAATCCTACCAAGGGTGTGTAAGGTGTTTAATTGACAATATGAAAATTTTAGGTTTTTTTTGGTCAGTCATGGGCCTGAATTCTGGGCCTGGTCGCTGTCCCTCAGCTCTTCAGCTCAAGGCTAGTGCTCGACCACTTGAGCTACAGCACCACTTCCGGCTTTTTCTGCTTATGTGGTGCTGAGGAATTGAACCCAGGGCTTCATGCATGCAAAGCAAGCACTCTACCACTGAGCCACCTTCCCAGCCCTGAAAATTTTAGGTTTGTTGAAAGGCTGTATGTCTTTAATTGATGTTGAAAGGTGTTCGAGGTAAAGTGAATCAAGCATCCAGGTATTTGAAATAAAAAAGCATGAAAGCTGGGCGCTGGTGGCTTGTGCCTGTAATCCTAGCTACTCAGGAGGCTGAGATCTGAGGATCAAGGTTCAAAGCCAGCCCAGGCAGGAAAGTCCTGTGAGACTTTGATCTCCAATAAACTACTCAGAAAAAGTGGAAGTGGTACTGTGGCTCAAGGGGTAGAGTGCTAGCCTTGAGCAAGAGAAGCTCATGGACAGAGCCCAGGCCTAGAATTCAAGCCCCAGGACCAGCAAAAAGAAAAATAAAAAGAAAAATAAAAAGCAAACATGAAATAAGATCTAGTTTCTGGTGAGCAGTATTCATATATAGAGCAGTGATTTTGATTGAGGACAGACATTGAGTCTACTCCATGCAATTTCAAGGTATGAATTCTCACATCTTCTCTATATATGGTATAGATAAAAGTGAATTTTACTTTTTTTTTCTTTTTTTGCTTATGTGGTGCTGAGGAATCGAACCCAGGGTCTCAGGCATGCAAGGCAAGCGCTCTACCACTGAGCCAACTTCCCAGCCCTCAAAGTGAATTTTAGAATCCTGAAGTGTAACATCTTGAACATTCAGTTTTTTCTGTGGAAACATATACCTGTGCTCACCTTGGATCTACTGTACAAAGCACAGGAGGAAAAGGCAGCATGAGAGCTGGGAAATGCAGAGATGACAAGATTCATATCTAAGGAGATGCTAGAAAATTCTGAAAGAGACTTAGCAGTACTGTGGTTTGAACTCAGGGCCTTACACTTGCTAGGCAAGCACTTTTTCACATGAGCCATGCTTCACCAGCCCTCTTTTCATTTGGTCAGTTTTTGAATAGGGTCTTATGGTTTTTTTTCTGGTTTAGCTTGGACTATAGTATTCCTATTTTCACAGATGGAAATACTGTCTGGAAGGATTGAGAGAGCTAGTTTAGAGTTCTTCTGGAATAAGGAGCAAGAAACATGATAGAGGCTTTAGTAGTACTCAGGATGAGGCAGAAAGGCTTTTAATGGGAGTTGGCAACTTTTCCTAAACTTGACCCAGGTTCAGTTGGCCCAAAGACCTATCTGTTGTAGAAACAGAGTGAATCATAGGTAGAATTTCTCATTCATTGTGGAATAGGACATTCTGGAGAAGTTTTTCTACTTAATTCACTGTATTTCCCACCAGATTTCCTGTCATATTATCCAAACCTCTATCTGTCTTAAGAATACTTGTGTTAATAAACTTTCATACTCTTGGGAGAGCTGTCAGTCATTCACAATTTAGTAAGATGTATATTCAAAGTATTTTCCTTGAAATAGTTCGGTCAAAATCACAGTTCAGTGGTAGAATTTCAATGAGCAGAAACAAATCCAGGGAGGGAATGCTAACACAAAAGGAGAAAGAACAGGAAATGGGGCGTGGCTGGGGGGGGGCTGCAAGCTAAAATGGAGGACAGAGATTTAGACAAGATTGGTAAAGATCTTTCAGCCTAGCTTACATGTCATACAGTTGCTCCTTAGGGTTAGTATTAGAAACAGAACTCTGGGCTGGACACTGGTGGCTCACGCCTATAATTTTAGCTACTTAGGAAGCTGAGATTTAAGGATCACAGTTCAAAGCCAGCTTGGGCAGGAAAGTCCGTGATACTCCTATCTCTGATTAACCACCAGAAAACCAGAAGTGGAGCTGTGGTTCAAAGTGGTAAAGTGTTAGCCTTGAGCACAAAAACTCAGGGACAGCACTCAGGCCCTTAGTTCAAGCCCCCAAACCTACATTAAAAAAAAAAAAAGAAAAAAAAAAAAAGAAAGAGAGAGAGAGAGAGAGAGAGAACTCTGCCTGCAACATAGCACTTAGAGGTGTTCTTGCTGGGTGCCAGTGGTACATGCTTGTAATTCTACCTTTTCAGGTGGGTGAGAACTGAGGATCAAAGTTCAAAGCCAGCCTGGGCAGGAAAGTCCATGAGACTCATATCTCCAATTAACTAGCAAATAGGTGGCAGTGAAGCTGTGGCTTAAGTGGTAGAGTCCTATCCTTGAGCATAAGAGCTTGAGCTAGTGCCCAGGCCCTGAGCTCAAGCCACAGCAACCACCTCTAACCCCTCCCCCCCACAAAAAAAATGTTATTGTTGAATACACTTCTTTCTCTAAAGGCTGGAATTCCATTTCCTTTACACCTGGCCATCAGCAAAGCAGGAATCAGATGTGGCACTTACCTAGTTTGATTACGAAGTTGATAAATCTCTGGATGCAAAACTAGAAAGGAATTAAGAAATCTGTAGTCAATCTTACCCAATTGAAAAAACAATTTACCTAATTTAGCAGTCAAATTAAAAAACTATGAGACATTTTCAGTTAATACCTTGGTTTTCTGAAGGTTTATTAGAATGGGGAAAAACAATCAAGTAAAGCTTGGAGCAGGTGGCTCACATCTGTAATCCTAGCTATTCAAGAGGCTGAGATCTAAGGATCATGATTTGAAGCTAGCCTAGGCAGGAAAGGCTTTTATCTGTAATTACCTACCAAAAAAACTGTGGCTCAAGTAGTAGAGTGCTAGCCTTTCAAACTGGGGTAAACAGGGCTGGGGATGTTTGCTCAGTGAGAGAGGCACTTGGTCATCTAGCATGGGTGAGACCTTGGATTCCATCACACACAGTTTATATTGATAAAGGGAGAGATAGATAAGAATGATTCCTCTAATTAATGGATAACAAGTCCACTTGAAAATCAGAGGCCTCACAAATGCAGCAGTGGTACTCACTAGACACGACATTGAAATGAACAATACAACTTGTGGGTGGGAATGAGAGGGAAAAACTGGGAGTAAGGGAAGGGCTAACACTGTCCAAAAAGAAATGCACTTTTTACTTGACTTATGTAACTCTAACTTCTCTGTATACTACCCCTATAATAACAATAAAAAAAAAAGAAAACAAATCAAGCCAGGCTCACGCCTGTTATCCTCACTACTCAGGAGTCTGAGCCAGCTGGGGCAGTCCAGGAGACTTATCGCCAACAAACTACTCAGAAAAAGCTGGAAGTGGCACTGTTACTCAAGTGGTAAAGTGTTAGTCATGAGTACTAAGAGGCTCAGGGACAGAGCCCAGGCCCTGATTTCAAGCTCCAGGATCAGCAAAACAAACAAACAACAAACAACCCCCACCCCTCAGTTCTCAATTATTTGCTTTCAACATTGGGTTGAAAGCTGAAATCAAAGATCAAACATTCTATGATTTTTGGCATATGACTCAAAAAATGTTCAAAGAATTGAGTGATACTGTTGTACTAGGTTTTTTTTTACATTATCAATGAATTCATATGATAAGATTTCAGAGCACTTACTTCTTTAATAACAAAAATCATAAAGAGTTTTAATGTGGAACCTGAACACATTCTGGCCAGTGGTGTTTCCTGGAGCTTCTACTACATTACATGCTAAGCGATAAGCTACTAGAGTTGGTGCTCTGCTTTCCCAGGAGATGGTGCTGTTGACTAGAGCTGCTGGGCAGTGGGGGAAAAAGAAAAGCCCAGAAAAGCCCAGAGGAGCTGGGATTGTAAATTGAAGATGCCATTGTTTTATTCTGCCCTTTGTGACCTAGATTACTCTGGAACCCCCCTCTGACCTGTCCCTTCTCTTCTATGAAGGCTACAGCCCTGTGACTACAAGGATTTATTCCTCCTTATGACTCCCAGATACCAGTGCATTCCTGCATGGGGAGCCTGGCTGTACCCCCCAGCTCCTTACTGTGTGACCTCAGTCTGCATCGGCTATTGTGGGCCTAATACAGTAAACATGCTCATGTTTTTTGCTCAGCCAAAATAGAAAATAGAGGGAAAGCAATAACCTTAGCTCTTTTTTTTTTGCTGGGACTCCTATTGCTGTACCTAACTTTGTTTTCCTCCACTTGGATCCAGGATGCTCAAGGACTTCTATTTTTTGTTGTTGTTGTTGTTGGATGTGGGGCTTGAACTCTGGGCCTAGGCGCTGTTCCTCAGCTCAAGGCAAGTGCTCTACTGCTTGAGCCACAGTGCCACTTCCGGTTTTCAAGTGGTTTATTGGAGATAAGAGTCTCATGGAGTTTCCTGCCCGGGCTGGCTTTGAACTGCAATCTTCAGATCTCAGCCTCCTGAGTAGCTAGGATTACAGGCTTGAGCCACCAGCGCCCGGCACTCAGGGACCTCTATAAATAGGACATCTCCCCTTTCCCTGATCTATCTTAGCATCCCCCAAAAAAGGGGAGGGAGTAAGGTTAGGCACCTTTTTATTCTTAGACTGGCAGGGGCTGAAGAACCTGGGTTACTGCCCTATCTTGCTTGGTGTGAACTCAGAGGATGCTGTGGTGTACAAAGGCATTGGAGGGTCCAAAGCCTCTCCCGTAGCTAGAACCAGCAGCTTCATTATGCTACCCTTAGCATAGAGCCTCTGTTGTGCAGTAACAAAGCTGTCTGGAGGCCTGTGTTCCGCTCCTCGCCCCCCCTCTCATTCATAAGTATCAAGTCAATAAAGCATTGACCCCCATGAAGAAGGTGGTGTAAAAAAATGAGTCCTACCTCTCAAAAGTAAAATTGCATTTTACTTTTTTTATGTTCTAGGGATTGAACTCAGAACTCGGTCTGGGCGCTGTCCCTCAGCTCTTCAGCTCAAGGCTAGAGCTCTACCACTGGAGCCACACTGCCACTTCCGGCTTTTTCTGTTTATGTGGTGCTGAGGAATCAAACCCAGGGCCTCATGCTTGCAAGGCATGCACTCTACTGCTGAGCTACCTTCCCAGCCCCTGGGCGCTGTCTTTCAACTCTTTAGCTCAAGGCTAGCACTCTACCACTTGAGCCACATCACCACTTCCGGTTTTCTGGTGGTTTATTAGAGATAAGCATCTCACGGATTTTTTTCCTGCCTGGGCTGGCTTTGAACCACAATCCTCAGATCTCAGCCTCCTGAGTAGCTAGAATTATAGGCAAGAGCCACCAGCACCTGGCCATGCTTTAGTTATTTTTCATATAAGGTCTTACTCTTTTTGTTGAGGCCAGCCTCAGATTTCAATACTCTTACCTCTGCCTCCCATACCTAGAATTACAGGTAGATAAATTAAGATCCTTTCTAGAGTCATTCCTGTGTGGAACCCATAGGGGACACAGATAATGAGGACAGGTCCCATTCTAAAGAAGATAAAGTAAGAAACACTAAGAAAAGGCAACTAGAAGCAGATTAATGAAGGAAGATGTGGTAGGAATGCTGATCAAAGAGGGGAGGAAGAACCCTCAAGGTGGGAAGGAAAAAGGCTGGATTTATGTGAAGAGAAGACAAGGTTTACCTGATAGTTCAGTGCTGAAGAGAAGTCCTTCCTTTCAAAAGCCTCCAACATCTGGTTTGTCTTTTTTCCCAGGTAGTTATAGGTACTACAAGACAACAGTAAATATTAAGGTTCAACAACTCAATGGGAAAGGTCCAGCCTTACACAACTTTCTGCTATCTAAAACCCACAAATGACATATACAGCCTTCATGCTTGTAATTCTAGCTATTCAAGAGACTATGATCTGAGGATTGCAGTTCAAACCCAGCTGGGGCAGGAAATCTGATTAAGAAACAAACAAACTGAAAGTGGAGCTGTGGTTCAAGTGGTAGAGCCCTAGCCTTGAATAAAAAAAAAGCTCAGGCACAGTGCCTAGATCCTGAGTTCAAGCCCCAGGATCAGGAAAGGGAAAGAGAAGAGAGAGGGAAAGAGGTAGAGTGAGAGAGAAAGAGAAAGACAGAGACAGAGAGAGAGGGACAGAGAGAGTTCCTGGAAGAGCAGGTGGAGGATGACTTGCCTTGGTTGGTCCTTTGTTGGTCCTGGCATTTATCCTCTATGTAGTCAGTTTGTATTCTTCCTCTTGGGTTTTATGCTGTTTTATTTATTTTGTGCTTGTACTGTAGCTTCAACTTCGGGTCTTGAGCTCTCCCTAAGTTTTTTGTTTGCTGGTCCTGGGGCTAAAACTCAGGGCCTGGGCACTGTCTCTGAGCCTCTTTGGGCTCAAGGACTCAAGCTCAATGCTCTACCACTTGAGCTACAGTGCCACTTCAGGCTTTTTCTGAGTCATTTATTGAAGATAAAAGTCTCACAGAGGGCTGGGAAGGTGGCTCAGTGGTGGAGCGCTTGCCTTGCATGCCTGAGGCCCTGGGTTTGATTCCTCAGCACCACATAAGAAAAAAGAAAAAAGCCGGAGGTGGTGCTGTGGCTCAGGTGGTAGAGCGCTAGCCTTGAGCTGAATTGCTGAGGGACAGTGCCCAGACCCAGAGTTCAGGCCCCACGATTGG